AGAAGAATTTCACTATGAGAAAATAGAAATTACAACTTCTCTCAATCTACTCAAGGAGAAAACAATGATAATTCTCTCTTGATAAAAAGGAGAAAACAACTCTCAAGAAACTCTCTAAATTCTCTCTAGTATTGGAAGAAAGATAGAATGCTATGGGATGGTTTTGAAGCTAAATGAGCTAGAGTATTTATAGTAGAAGCTTTAAGGACTAATTTTGAAAATACTCTAAATTACAATGACTAAATGTGAGATTTTGCCATGCCACTTTTCAACCATTATTAGTGCCAACTATGAATCATTATTGTTGTCAACTTACAATGCATTATGAATTATTATTATGCATTATACAACTATTATTAGTTATATGACAACTAATAATTTTACATGACAACTAATACAAACTGCGTCTGATAATTGAAAAAAGAAACATGGGCCATGGCACGACCACCTTCGTTATAACACGGTAAAAACCATACAACTTGCTGATGTTAAATAACTAAATCTTTCTTTTCGCACGAATAAAATGTTTTGATGGGCAGAAGAGACAAACTTGATGGATTAGAAAAAGAAGAAGAAAAACTCAGGTTGGAATTTTCTTGGGGATTAGTCCCATGGAAGGTATGGATCTTCATGTTTCATACAGTTGTGAAGCAGAAAGTTAACTTCCTTCTGCTTTATCATACACCCAAAATGTCAAGTTCTGTTCTAAATTGAAGCTCGGATCAGCAGCATCTCTTTCAATGTCATGAAATTCGTCTTGCATCAATTATTACATATTTAGAAGTTCATATTATTTAATCTCTGATAAATGATCATGTTAACCACATAGATAGGCAATGGAGCTAGGTAGTATAGAATTCATGGATGAGGAGGCTTCATTGTGGCCCTTGTCGTATCTCAACAACTACACATATCAAGTTGTTGGTCATATTTTCAACAGATTTGTTGAAAATGGCGAAAAATGGATTCAATCAAGAGAAAAAGAATCACATTATCAAGAACCACCATGGATGCAGAAACAAACAGTTGCAGCACATCAACGGCGGTCGAAAACGGTCATTTTGTTGTATACAGTGTGGATTAGAAGCGCTTTTTACTTCCTTTGGAACATCTAAAGAACAAAATTGTGATGGAGCTATTCGGCTCGGCAGAAGAAGAGTTTGGACTACCGGACGATGGGATTCTAATCTTGCCTTGCGACGCAAACTTTATAGAATATGTAATTGCTCTCGTCAAGAGGAAACCGAATAAAGAAGTGGAGAAATCATTGATCCTTTCTGTAGCCAATAGTCGTTGCTCAACGTCATATCTTTATCAGCAAGAAATGAGCCCACAATTGCCGATACAGCTTTGGAAACAATTTTCATTTTTCATCTTACAATCGATCCACACTATGATAGATTAAAGTATATAATGCAAAACATCACAATTTTTGTTTCTCATGCTTAGTCTCTCTTGAACCTACACAGGAAATTTACTTGTTATCCACAATATTACATCAATCAATTCATACTAAAAAAGGCATACTCATCACGTCAAATAAATACAGTTGTACAAGTTGTTTATTAGGTTTAAAAACTACTTAGAAAATTCAAGGCCAATGTGTCGCGGTGTAGTTTGTTATCACGTCAGTCTAACACACTGAATGTCTCTGGTTTAAGTCCGGGCGACGCCACTTCCGTGTTCCTTATTCATTTTCAGGTTCTGTTATCAGGGACAATAGAAACTAGAAACTTAGGAACATAGGGCAAAATCAAATTTCTGCTCTGATTCCATTGCAAAACATCAGCCACATAATATATATATATAGTGAATCCCACGAAATCGGCAGAGTCTTTGAACACAGTCTTCCTATTTCAAAGCATTTATATTATGTTAGATAAGTATAGATGAAGATCCAGAAAATGAAACAAAATATGATCCATTAGCACAGGAAAAACATTAACTGGTCTTGGAGTGAAAATATAATTAGTCCACAGATTGAACCATACAATCTGAACCAGCAAGAAACAAGCCAACGGTTGCCACAATTGAGCTTCTAAAGATAAAATGTCATGTTTTGAAATTTGTAATTTACCCTACATGATATATAATGAGAAATCTCCAGATTTTGATTCATGTTCAGTTGCCTGCCATGGAAATCATCCTTTTACATCAACAACATCACCTTCACCATCATAAAACTATCTCTGTATTGTAGTGGAAAGTTAAAACCGTTGTTTCAAATTGACCCAACCGCATATGCCAAAAATGTGTCTGACAATTGAAAAAAAAACATGGCAGGGACCACCTTCCAGGACCTGCCAATTCCTTCGGTCATCAGAACACGGTAAACACCGTACAACTTGCTGATGTTAAATAACTATTTTTTTTCTTTTCACACGAATAAAATGCTTTGATGGGCAAAAGAGACAAACTTGATGGATTAAAAAAAGAAGAAAGAACTGAGGTTGGAATTTTCCTGGGGATTGGTCCCATGGAAGGTATGCATGCATGTTCAGGTTTCATGGCCGATTAAAATAGTAGCAAGTTGCATTTTACAATATAATCAGCCATTTCCCGTTGACGAAACTGTGTTTGGTGAAGACCGGTGGGTTCAAACTGAGTCGGCGCCGAAGCAAACGTACCAACTCATTTAGCATCAATTCTTGACCATGCGGAGATTATTAGTTGGTAATAGTGGCTTCTTCCTGCTCATTAATTAACTACTATTCTCTTGTCTATTATCGTAAAATAAATAAATCAACTTTTCCCCTTTTTTAGTTTAATATTTAAATTTATTTATTTAATCAAAATTAATATTTGAATTTGATAATCTTTTCACTTTTAGTCCTTACGATGGTATGAAACATTTATTTTAGGAAGACAAAACCTTGTGAAATTTGTGAGAGTTCAAAGAAGATATATCATATTACGTACGCGAGAGGTTTATATGTCACGGTCTGAAATTGGTCAAATAAATTGACTTTCGCATAACAAATGTAAGAAAATAATATCATATATACGTAACAATATGTAATTACATAATTTAACCAAATTTATTAACTAAAAATGAATAAAAAAAAAGTTTAAAAAGTCATTTTGGTCAATTATTGGTGTAATTCATCAATCATCTTATCTTTCCTAAGGATTGAAAAATATAATTAAAATACACCAATTTATTCCATTCATGCAACTCACCTAATTATGGGTACGTATATATATATATACATGCCGTTTAAGGACAGCAATTTAATCTAAAATCGTCGATTCCAACCTTATCAGATAGGGTTATTTGTTTCTTAAATTTCAGGTCCGGGTAGGGTTAGGTCTAGTTGAATCTTTTAAGGGGATGAGGTCAGGTCAGGTCGGGTTTGGATGGAGGGTGAAAAAAACTCCGACCCGACTCCACCTGAAGATAATAATGTAATTTCTTTAAAAAATTATTCTTATTTTATTTAAGTCTTTATTTTATATCGGGTTCGGTCGGAATAGAATAGATGATATATTTTCTGGATCGGTTAGATTAGATGGAAGATATATAATTTTTAGATCGGATCAAATTCGGATGAATGATACATATTTTCAGATCGAATCAAATTGATCAAAAATCTAACCCTAACCTAACCGGATGCCATCCTAACACCATTGCCGTATGTTGACACCAACCTATTTACCAACATTTAATGCACTATAGGACTTGGAAATTTGAACAAGCAAATTCAAACATAATAATTGACAATATACAACATAAGTTCAATCTGTCTTACTTATTAGCCACTTTCTTAGATTATAGAACAATAAATCTGACAATTTTATCATAGAAATTTTGTTTTCTTAAACAATATTGTAATACTATAGTATATGTCATGCATTTCGTTCAAAAATGTCATCTTTACTTGGTATGGACATAACAGGAAACCGTGGACAACATTGACTACAAGTTTAAATTCCCACACCTTTAGTTGTATTATTTATATTGTTAAAGTTACTAAAGAATTTTATATTTCAAACATTTACGTTTATGAATGAAACAAATTAGCCATCACAGTACCTAATCTCGATACTAATGATTAATTCAAAAAACAAAACAACTATCAAGTTTTCTTTCGACTTTAGGATTATAAAAGATTTGAAGATATGTTTTAATATTTACATTACAAAGATTTTACAAGGATATTAGAAGAGTTTTAAAATATATCATATTTCGATATATATCAAATTCTTAGTTGCATAAGATATTGTATATTTATATTTTTTATAATCTTTATATTTAAATTTGTGTAGTGCCTAATTCAGAAATATTTTTGAATAATGACATACACTTATTAATTATTATAAATTTTCGAATGCGTAAATAATATTTTAAGGTGAATATGTATGATAAAATAAACAACTAATATAAATCGTGTATATACTTTGCATCCGTCATTGAATTTGTAATTCTTTTATTTATAGAAGTAGATAAATTTGAACCATAATAAATTTTATTTCTTAGGCATATTTTAGTGTATATTGATTTCATTTTTATTGGTAAATGTGTACGTAAGATGACCTAAAATTGGATTGGATGGCTACTTTCATTGACCGGCACTGCTAAAGCATCAAGCAGGGGTACATGGCTCAATAGGGAGAATTATTATTTTGTGAAAAAATGTTAAATTTAGTTGAATTTATTAATGAGAATAGAAAAAAAATAAAAAAATTTACATACCAAAATTTTTAGAACCGATTATTAAAATTTTAAACCCTATATTTTAATTTCTAAATTCGCCACTGACATCTTATGTATACGATAAGAATTGGGTATGTGTTGAAAAAATATGAACAATTGAGTCCCGTCTGGCTGCTACAGTATTTTATTTTCCTGCATTTTGAATATTAGTAGTAGAATATTTATAACTATTTTTGTCTAAAATCAACTACTCCTTCAGCAACCAGTAAACTATATTCATATTACTCCATTAAGACTAAAGTCTATATATATGGGAGATATTTTAGCGCATATTTGTGAGGGAACATCAGGGGAAAACAATTAACAATAATTTGAGAGAGTTCAAGGTGAGAGCATACTAGGGAAATTAAAATGGTTGATGTTAATGAAATAGGCTCCTACCCCGGAACACCGAGACCGGCTTCGGCGGCAGCTACGCCTGCGATATCGGCTCCTCCTTCGCAGTTTCATTCTCCGTCACTCACTCGGTCACCGCTTCTTTCCGCGGACGATCATATCCAACCCGCGACCACCAAAACATCGAGAAATGTTACCCCGAGGATTCGAACCCCACGCTTTATTACTCCGTTGGGAAGTCCAATTAGAAGGGCTCTTAAGCTTACCAGGCTTGACCCTCATGATGCTTGGCTTCCCATCACTGAGTCGAGAAATGGAAATGCCTACTACGCTGCGTTTCATACTCTCTGTTCTGGGATTGGTATTCAAGCCCTTGTGCTCCCTGTTGCTTTCACAATCCTCGGGTGGTACGCAATCGACGACAACAATCTCTTCAATTCGATGTTTTGTTTTATGAAATTTTCTCTTCAATTCGATCTTTGTTTTATGAAATTTGCAGCTAAAAGTGACATGTTTATCTATGCTTTTTGTTGTTTCCAGGTCTTGGGGGGTCATAACCTTGACATTGGGCTTCATATGGCAGCTTTACACTCTAAACTTACTGGTGCAACTCCATGAATCAACGGAAACTGGAATGCGTTACAGCCGATATCTTCAGCTCTGCGGCGCAACTTTTGGTAAGACCGTTAACATAACGTAACATTCTCGATTTACTTGTGAATTTCGAAGTTGATATTGAATGTTTATTCATGACCAATTCAGGTGAGAGATTGACAAAATGGCTGGCAATGCTCCCCATCATGTACCTATCAGCAGGAACATGCGTGACCCTGATCATCATCGGTGCCACGTCATGTCAATTGTTTTTCGATACTTTATGCGGAGGAACATGCTCCGCTCACCCACCGACGACCGTGGAGTGGTACTTGATATTCACTTCTTCCGCGGTGCTTCTGTCTCAGCTGCCTAATTTAAACTCGATAGCGGGTGTGTCCCTCGTGGGAGCCATCACGGCTCTTGGGTACTGCACTCTGATTTGGGTTGTTTCACTTGCTGAGGGCAGAATGCCTGGAGTATCATACAACCCGGTACGAGGAAGAACTGAAGTTATTAGGATTTTCGACATTCTAAATGCACTTGGGATCGTTGCTTTTGCGTTTCGAGGCCACAATCTCATACTGGAGATTCAGGCAACCATGCCATCCGACGAGAAGCATCCATCGCGTGTGCCAATGTGGAAGGGAGTCAAGGTCGCTTACACGCTCGTGGCAATGTGCTTATTCCCTCTTGCAATCGTTGGCTATTGGGCTTATGGTCAAATGGTACTACTTATTACAACCTTCCACTATAATTCAATATGTTCCACATTAACCCAACAAAAAAATTAACATTTTGTTACTCATTAACAGATACCGGCAGATGGGGGCATGCTAACAGCCCTATTCGCATTCCACGGGCAAGACACACCCGACTTCATCCTCGGATTAACAAGTTTATTCGTCATAATCAGCGCATTAAGCTCATTCCAAATCTACGCAATGCCGACGTTCGATGACATGGAATCCCTATACGTTAAGAAAAGGAAGGAGGCATCCCCGTGGTGGCTCCGAGCAATTTTCCGATCTATGTTCGGTTACATATGCTTCTTCGTGGCGGTGGCGATCCCGTTCTTGGCAAGCTTTGCCGGTCTCGTGGGCGGGATATCGTTGCCGGTGACCTTAGCTTATCCATGCTTCATGTGGCTTAAGGTTAAGAAACCCAAGGTTTTTGGGCCAAGATGGTGGCTGAATTGGTCGTTGGGTCTCTTAGGGATGGCTCTAAGTGGAGTTTTGATAGCGGCTTCGCTCTTTGTTATTATTGATAGGGGTGTTGAATTGAACTTCTTCAACCCTTAGTAATTCAAATAAGTTCTGCATAAAGTTATGTACTAGAGTTTGGTCGGGCATAAATCTGAGATATTTTTTGTATACAAAATAATAAGATTCAAAGAGTCAAAATGGGATAATATTTTGTAATTGGTCATATTCTTCTATTAGTCCTTATATCACGTGTAAATTGTGAATTTGATCTCTGTGTTTTTAATTTAATATTTTTTGTACCTATATTTGTGTAATAATTCTCACCTGACGCCATTAAAGTCATGCTAGGCAGCTTGAAATATCAAAGCTCCAGGCAGCAGAAAATTTGAATTGAACATTTGATCATGTAATATATTCTGCCCTTCAGTTACAAGGAAATAATTCATAAAACTTGGTTCTATTTTTCTCGTCTTCAAGCTGTGTCGATACCCAAAACTATTGTTGCTTATTTCCTTTTTCGTTCTTTTAAAAAAAAAATTATTGGGATAGTTTTGAATTTCCCAAAACTAGGAGTCCGATTCATAGCAAACAATAATCGACCAATTTGGCACGAACAAAGTGACTTCCGTGGTAATAGAATTGTTGTAATTTCTTGAGGAATTGGGTTCGAGCACCATAGATGTCAAAGGTGTGAGCCTTTAATGTCAAAAAGTTAAAAATTATCTTTTAACAGATATTATATTGTACTTACCTAAGATTAATTATCAAATATGACTTCTCGTTTAATTGTAAATTATAGTTTTATTTTTAAAAGTTACTCTACATTTCACGCACTCTATACACCAACATCCTGGTTGCCCTCTAGATATTTCAATAGATGAGGATAATCTTCAATATACTTCATGATCCTTGCCACTTTCTATTGTCATTGCAACCAACACATTTTGTCGGAATAAGGCATGATGAGATTTTGATGGCTTGGTCAGACCATCAACCGTTTGATGTGTGGCTGGGATGTAATTGTCTTGTAACAGTTTGCTTGCCACCTTTTCTCGGACAAAGTGCATATCGAGTTCAACATGCTTGGAGCGAGCATGAAAATCGAGATTAGCGTTCATTGCAATTGCACTTGTGTTGTCGCTCCATATGACTGGCATGGTATCAATGGTCTCTCCCGTATCTGATAGAAGTGTTCTAATCCACATAACTTCCAAGACAACATCTGCAATCCCTTTGTACTCAGCTTCTGTGGTAGATCTTGCCACCATTTTTTATTTCTTAGAACTCCAAGCTACTAGATTGTCACCTAAAAACACACAACAACTGGAGATGGAACGAAGATCATCGGCGTTGCTTGCCCAATCAGCATCGACAAAGGCAACTATGCGACGAGATTCAAAAATTTCAGCAGGTCGAAACACCATTCCAAAGTTAATGGTGCCACTCAAATTACGTAAGATTTGCTTGATTGCAGACCAATGTCCCTCGCATGGTTTGTGCATGTTTTGTGCCATTCAGTTGACATTATACACAATACCAGGCCTTGTGTGGCTAAAGTAGAGTAAGGAGCCAACCACACTCCTATAATATTGTGCATCAGCTCAGCAAGCTCCCTTCGTGCATCCCATGTTAGCTTAGGAGAGACACTCATTGGTGTTGGTGATGAATTAGCACTACTCATATGAGCTTTTGCAAGGATTTCTCTAATAAATTTTCGTTGTCTCAAAACAAGTTGTTCATGACTCCTCTTGTAACATCCTTAATACCGGGTTAGTGACTAAATTGGAAAGTTTTAGATTTTGGTGATTAAAATAGAATGAATGTGTAACATCCCGAAATTCAGGGTCTGTGACTAAATTGCAAATTTTGAAAACTATGTGCTTGATTTCGAAATAAATTAAAAGTTCATGGATTTAGTAGTAAAGCTGGAAAATAACAAGGGTGTTATGGTATTTTCTAAGAGAAGATTTTTATTTTCCCTTTTTAAGGAAACCATGTGGGAAAGGAGAGAATTATCCAGAGTCTTCTTCTCCAGCTTCTTCTTCTCCCCGTAAGCCTCATTTAAAGGTGAGTTTAATTTCAGCTGTTTAATTCTTGGATTTATAAGTTGATTTTGATTCTTGGAGTATTATATAAGCTTAAGGAAAGCTTATATAAGCTTTAAACATCAAGAATAGAGAATTAGAAAGGAAATGATATGAAGGGTGTAGAAATGAAATTTTGTTATAGAAAGGTTTTTGAAGTTCTAAAGATGGATTTGACTTGTCAAGGGTATAATTAAGAAGCTAGAAGCAATATAATTGAATTTGGAGCATGTTGAAAATTTAGTGTAATTCTTGAATTACATATGGAGAATAGGATTTTGATGTTAAAGACGTGATTAATGAATAGAAATGAGTTTGAATATGAGTATGTAAGTTAAAAATAAGAAAGGGGATGATATATGAAGTATTAAGCTCAAAAGAGTGGATTTTCGGGCATAAAAGAGGATTCTGGGCAGAGTGCATCGATGCACATTCATAGTGCATCGATGCATCAAGGTTAAAACCCATAAATTGTTTGAAGGTGTATCGATGCATTGGTAATGCATCGATGCACTCTTTTAAAATAGAAACATCGAATGCAATTAGTGCATCGATGCATAAGTCATGCATCGATGCATCCCTATAATAATACAACATCGAATGCATTTTATGCACCGATGCATCAGTAGTGCATCGATGCATACCTTCATTAAAAGATGAAATTGGCTTTTCTCTGAGCCTAAGGAGTGATAGTTTCGAATATATATCAATCTGTATATTGATAAGTATTAATGTATTATTATGTAGATATAGAATGAAAGCTTGTTCCGGAACAAACTAAGGATTAGGATTGATTCAAAACAACGAGGCCCAGGTGAGTGCAATTTAAATTGTACTTATGTACCAAATAAACATTGGATTGCGATGAGCCAGTGATGGAGTCACTATGGTAAGAAGGGACTCTTAAAAATGTTATTTGAATTGTGATTCTTATGTTTGCATGAGTGCATGAAAATGGGTACATATGTTATATGTATTGCATATGTTACATGAATTGAATGAATATATGTTAGTGTGATAAGCTATGTGAACTGGTTTAAATAGTATATGTGATTATATAAGTTTATAATATAAATATGTGATATAAGACATAAGTAAAGAACTATATGATATTAGATAAGATAAACATATGCTATTATAATTGACTATAGGATCGCGAACTATGTAAAAATAGCAAGGACTTATGTGATAGCAAGAGAAAATGATATAAAATAGATGATATAGATATAAATGATAAGTTAAACGACATAGACATATGTGATTATATGAAAAAGAATATAAGTTATGTGATTATGAACATGTGGATATAGGTCTAGTTGAGGATATAATAACAAGATATAAATTACACGAGTTAAATATATGAGAATTAGTATAACCAACTTATGAGATGAAATGAAAAGTGAGACAAGTTAAATAACATTGACCTATAGGACAATATGAAAATAATATATAAATTAGGAGACATTGACAGAAGTGATTATATGAACATGTAAGATAAGCTATATGGGAAGAGTTATGGGCTTAAATGAACATATAATATATGAGTCATATAGTAAAGATCTATGAAGCTATAGGAAGATGTTATGGGAGTTATGTGATGATAAGTTATAAGAATATATATAGGTAGCAAGTTATGTGAAATTGAATTAAGTAAATATATGAAACTAGGATATAAATAATGTGAGATAAGTTATAGGGCATTGATATACGAACTATATGAAAGTATGTACATGAATATATGTATAAGTTTATATGTTATTCTATGTGATATATGATGTATATATGAACATATGTGAATAAGATATGACATGTGTGTTTACATGAAAAATGAGAAATGATATAATCCATATGAAATGATCTACGTGATTACATGTAATACGTGATTACATGCACTTGAGATAAAGGTTATATGATATGAGATGTATGTTCACACATACATATGGTATGTGACAGAAGAAAAGGAACAAGTGATATGAAACATAAGAATAATGCCCATAGTATATGATATGAGAGCTATAGGTATAGTTGGCATGCCAAGAGTCGAGGGTTCTACGTGGTCCTTCGGGACATGTATGTAATTATGTGGAACCTATATGTAGTACTTCGGTACACTTATTGGAGCCATTGTATTATGTATATGGTTCTTAAAGAGTAGTCCTTCGGGACATAGTGGTCCTACGGGACATATACAGTGGTCCTTCGGGACATAGTGGTCCTACGGGACGAATACTGAACTAAGGTTCGGTGCCCCATGAGGGAATTGATACGAGTTGTGGTGACAGCATTAGTGCACAACCTCAATGTACTCACATACCTCTATTCTCAATAATATACATGGGCAATTGAAATATAAACTTTAAAGTGAAAGTGGTACAAGAAGGTAAGTTTCGTATGTGCATGATATGATTATATATGTTATCGTGTAATAGATACATGCATATTGAAATGCCATGATCAAATGTTTAGAATACATATTCATCGGATGAAATGGGTATTGATTGGAAAAATGTATGATATTATATGATAGATATGTTAATGATAATGATAGTATTTGTACAGGTATGTGTTTTGTTACATGAAATGTTCGATGGTTTTTATTATATGTTTATATGCCTCACTAAGTCAACGACTTAGCGTGTGATTGTTTCACACGTAGGTTTCGAGAAGAGTAAAGAGCAATATGGAGCAAGACAGGTCAGTTACATCTTACCGAAGATCAGATCAGAAAAGATGTTTTGAATTAGATGTATTCTGTACATTGAAAATGGTTGGTATGTAAGTAAATGTCTGAATTGTATATGCACTGAACGGTTTTGCAAAAACATTTAAGCTCTGAATAGTTCTGGAAATCTTTTGAATAAGCTATATGTATAAAAGTTTTAAATTACTCACTATTTTATACAAGTAAATGGTTTGAAAAAGTCAATGTGACACCTCGGACTCGAATCCAGGTCAGGTATGGGTGGGGGTGTTACATTTAATGGTATCAGAGCTAAGGTTTAGCCGATTCTAGGCTTAAACCGAAGTCAAAGGAGGTTTAAAAATGTGTACATGCCAACTAAAGGTGAAAATTTCTGATCTGATAGTGTAAGGAGTATACTGTCTTGCTAATAGAATAAGATTTGTATGAGATAGTAAGAATTGATTATAGAAATTGTCAAAGTAAAGTAAATCAATAACTGACAAATCTGATGGTGATAGCAATTCACCTGCCCTGGCCAGGCAGGATGAAGAGCAGAAACCTCAGAAAGTGTCTTATAAGATTAAAGGTTGATTTCAGAAAGTTGAAATCATATTAGAATAGTGATAGAAGATCTTTATTGTGTTGAATCGGAAAAGTTATATGAATTAGTTTTGTTAGTATGTGGATAAGACAGAATATGGTGAACAAATGTCACCATAAGAGCGTTAAAAAGATCAAATGATGTAGTAAGATTTGGTAGAAGAGTTCAAGAATAAGTATGTTAGTGACAAGCGTATAAGATGTATAAGTCAGAGCTTATGAGTTCGAAATGAAGGGATAACATTGCGTATAAGCCAGAGTGTTTATATGATAAGGGTTTGCAGTTAAGACAGAAAAAGTTAGCGTTGGCTAACAAGAATATGTGATGGGAATATACGGGAAGTATAAGAATGTAAGATATTGTCGGGATATGATAATCAAATATGAAATGGATCTGGATACAGTTGTATATTTGAGTAAAGCTGAGAATTGATAAGAAGAGTTTGAGAATGTGTATATCGATAATTAGTTTATAAGACAAAGAAAGTCATAATGTTGAGTTTGAACAACGGAAATTTCGGGATGTATATGATTGGATGATTAGGACTTGTGCCCTAGATTGA